GAAGTTTAGGATTATTCTTGAGCAAGAGAGAGCAAACATTCTCAATTCTTTGTAGACTTTGGTTTTTTGTATTAAAGTATATGCCGGTGCTTTGTAGACTTTGATTTTTTGTATTAAAGTATATGCCAGTGCTTTGTAGACTTTGGCTTAGAGTGCTATTATTGAATGAATTGTGACAAGGATGATGAGGTGAAGTTGTTCCCGTGTGACCTTTGTAACTTGTGGCCGAAGACAAATAACGCTGTCTTATTGTAATTCTTTCATATGTCCATTGTGTTTGGTCCACTTTCAAATTATGCCATGTCCTCTGTTTTTCTTTACACTAATTGCTGTATTTTTTTCATCTTAGTGTCTTTTTATTTTTATTATAAATCTTAAAAACATGTTAATCAATTACCTTCATAAATTTACTGGTGATTAATTTCTTTGGCTTTGCAGGTGACAGTGACTGGGTATAATCACAAATTGGGGATCTTGTTGGATACAATAGTTGATATGATTGTTAAGTTCGAAGTAAGATCAGACAGATTTGCTGTTATAAAGGTAATCCATAGCTTTCTTAGAGTTCGATATCAATTTTTTGCTTTAAAGTCCTTTGGTATGAAGTAATTTCATTAAGCTCCCTCAAGATGTAACTCAACCAAGAGTAGTAGGCGTGGCAGAATATCATGTATTATTTGATCAGGGTTAAATTGTTGATTGGCCTCACGTTGTGGGATCTGCATTCTAGTAAAATGGCAATGTACATCTGAAGTATAGTTCTCCATTGTGTACAACATAGAAGAGAAGCATTGATTTTTTTTGGTGAGCACCCAAAATATTCTCACTCTACAAAGCCTGGCTTACACCCAAAATATTGATCCTGAGAATCGGCCAGGCTGATCTTTTGGCCTTATTCCTATGTTTAAACCATGCTAATACCTAGCCTGGATAAGTCATTGGCTCAACATAAATATGACCAAGTTTTCTGGATTTAGGCCGGTTCAATGCTTCAATCCCTAACAAATTGGCCAAGGTATTGTTTGAGCTAGGATTTATCTTTGAGAGTTGAGACAAATTTTATGGCTCATACTCAGACCAGGTTTTGTTTTAATTAGTTCTTTTTGCGACAAATATCATAAATTGGTTTCATATGATCTATTATGTTATATGCAGACTTATCTGAAAAGGATTTTGACCATAAATTGGTTTCATATGATATATTATGATAGTGTTTGTTAAATCACTATTTACTTACTAATTTGTATGCACATAATCTTCTATGTATATATAATTAACTTACGATGATAGCAGTTGTCTAAACTAATTCTTCTACCCCACAGGAGACTGTATTAAAGCAGTATCAAAATTTCAAGTTTCAGCAACCGTATCAGCAAGCAATGTATTACTGCTCATTGATTTTACAAGACAATTCTTGGCCTTGGATGGAACAACTTGAAATTCTACCCAATCTTGAAGCTGATGCGCTATCCAAGTTTGTTCCCTTGATGCTCTCAAAAGCATTTCTGGAGTGTTATTTTGCAGGTTAGTATCCCTAAAATTACTTGAATGTATGCATCTTATATCAATCTTCTATTTACTGCTAATACTGGTAAGTTTTCAGGGAACATTGAGCAGGGTGAAGCTGAGTCAACTATTGAGAAAATCGAAAGTGCTTTTTTTAAGGGTTCAAACCCTCTTTGCCAGCCACTTTTTCCTTCACAATATCAGACTAATAGAGTTGTGAAGCTTGGAAAAGGCAAACGTTACTGCTATAGTGCCAAAGGCTTAAATCCAACTGATGAGAATTCATGCCTTATTCACTGTATTCAGGTAATTTCCATGTTCAGATTATGTTTTATTGTTTTTAATCTTTTTGCTTTTTTTTTAGTCTAAATGATTTCTTTAGTGCTTTATAATCTCTGTCGATGTTGCTCTGCAAATTTGCAGATTTATCTATATCAATATGACTGAATGTGCCAAGGCTTTCGTTAGGTTTAATAGCCATTATTGCTCCTATGTAATTTAAATAGGAATATTTTGTTAAGCCAAGTCTATTAGACTTAAAACACCACTATTTCATGAAGCTAAGTCAATATATTTAAAATATGACTATTTCAGTATTTCATCAAGTACAGTACATTCTACTATGAATTTTGAACTTCCCATTTTGCAAAATATTGTCTCAAAATGTAGAGTAATTTGTTACTTGATGTGGGATGAAAGGAGTGTATTTTTGGGTTTTAATGTGAACTACTACTTAAATTGTCATAGGCACATCAAGATGAATACCTGGCAAATGTAAAGCTTGAGCTTATTGCTCTTGTTGCCAAACAACCAACTTTCCACCAGCTTCGATCTGTTGAGCAACTTGGATACATAACTGTTCTTATGAAGAGGTGAAGTTTGTGGTCCTGATTTTTTGTAATTTAAACTGTTGTGATGTATTTACTGACATTGCTCTCTTGTAGAAATATTTTTGGCATCCATGGATTGCAATTTATCATCCAATCTACAGCGAAGGTACACTGAGTGCAATCAATACATGCATATGTTTGCTGGAAAGCTTGTCGATGACGCCATGTTAATCACTTTGCTTTCCTACTATACAGGGTCCAAGTCATATTGATCAAAGAGTTGAGGCATTCCTTGGTAAATTTGAGGGTGAACTTCGCCAGCTTAGTGAAGATGAATTCAAGGCAAGTGAGACATGTTTAAACACTTATCTGTTGGCACTAGCTTGAATTAGTTATATAGTACATCAAAAGCATTTGTTAATGATGAAAATATGTGAACTTGTTTCATGAATCAATTTTTTAGTATTGATGAAGAAAAGTTCTACAAAATTTCACTTGAGGTAAAATGGTGCATGATATTATAAGATTTTGAATAATAGTAATTATAGCGATAATAATGGCAGTAGCGTTAGTAAAAGTAATCTAATATATTTATCATTACTGCTATTCAGCTATTGACATGAGATGATGAGTTCTTGTTGAACACACTAGATATCTCAATCTGGCATTTTAATAGATAAATAAGGGAACTTCATAGATGATAATATCCCATTGTTTTTTTTCCTGAATTATAAACGAATCATTTAATGAGGCTGCAAGGGATGATCTGCTATTCTGATTTCTTGATGTGTAAATCACTTCGACTAATTGTAATTTTATTAGAAACAGAAAAATCTCAATTCACTAGTTGACAGCAAACTGGAGAAGCACAAGAATCTGAGAGAAGAATCTAGATTCTTCTGGAAAGAGATTACTGATGGGACTTTCAAATTTGACAGGAGAGAATCTGAGGTATGTGTGCCATATTAACACAAAAATCTTAAAAACTGGATTTCCTTTCAGGTTGTACAGCTCATATTGTTATGTCATGACAGGTCTCGGCATTAAAGCAGCTTACCCAGAAAGAGCTAGTAGAATTCTTTGATGAATTCATCAAAGTTGATGCTCCCCGAAAGAAATCAGTGAGCGTAATGGTGTATGGATCCTCACATTTATCAGACTATGAAGCCGATAAAACCAGCACAGAGCAAGCAAAGTATGTTCACATTGATGATATCTTCACTTTTAGAAGAACACAACCACTATATGGCTCATTCAGAGGTGGTCGGACTCCTACTAAACTGTAAGGATTACAAACTGAGGAGAAACCGAGAAAGGGACTGCATTCAAAGGCAAAGAAGACTTATCATATCTTGGTCTCTTGCATGAATTTTAGTTGTGTGTTGGTTGATGTAATACATTAGTACAGAAATAATACAACAGTACTACCTATACTTCTTTTTTTGACTAGAAGACATTACCCATAGATAATATTTTATTTTTTTTAAAAAAGTGTTATATTTTCATATACTGTTATGTTTTTACGAGCTATTGTTTGTATTAATAACATTCCATCTAAAAAATCAATTGTACTGTAAAAGTGGTTAATTTGTACGAAAACATAACTGTCTTTAACATATGTAAGTACTATAATAGGGATTGTGTTGGAGATTACAAACGTATTTGTTTTTCTATTTGTTTCGTACTAAGAATGGCCATTTACCAATCTAATACGTTGGTGACATTCTATAACTATGGAGTATAATTGTATTAATATACTTCTGTATTAATATAGTACCTTCTGTTTCCTAAACACGCTTCCGAAGGCGCCAAAAGAACCGTGGCAATAATGTTATTAGCCATTTCCTGCATAAACTATATTCTGTTCACCTTCCAAAATTACCTTGTTGTGTAAGGCGAACCAAAATCAATAAATCTGAATCTGGAGCTTTTAGTTAACTATGCTGCTATTACTCTCATCTGCAATCTGATCATTAGACAAAAAAATATGCATATGTTTATTAATTAGAATAAGTTATAGAATTAGTTATTATTGATCAGAAGTTTCTGATAAAGCACAATCACATGTTATCTTTAGGAAGATGAATCTCTGGGGTCCCCCTTTCGCTTAAAAACAATTTAATCTTACGTGATTATTGAACATTAGTAACAGTATTGCTGTCTGTATGAAAAACAATTGACATGACTTATCAAAGGGGATTATTTAAATCCATGCACCCAAAAACCTAATACTCATTAACTGTAGATTAATTGGCCAATATTGGAACATTAAGTAATTTGTGACTATTATACTAGAACTAGAATAGACAAATTAGCCAGGTAATGCTACTGTAGATGCTTAATAGTAACGTCCCACTCCAACATAAACTAGTCATACAATCTAATTATCATTTTTTTTTTAAATGTGAAGTCAACTTTTGTAGTATAGCACAATAAAGTTCTATTTTCTTTTCTAAATTTCTACAATAAATTAAACTACATAGAAGTACTCCCTCCATATTTTGTACTCCATTTTATAATACGATACAAAGCACGGAGTAATTTACTTAAAAAGCCACCTATGAATTCTCTTCCCATTATTTGACTTTTAATTCATGTCCTTGTCTTAAATATCACCCAAAATCTTTTTGCAATTCATTTTACAGTTTAATGTTGATATAATTTAATTGTATTTTGTCCCAAATAATTAACAAGAGCTGAAGGATTAAAGAAAAATTACCGTGTAAATAAACGGGTCAATCCGGCCTCCTGCCCCACTTCGCTTAACTTCTTCCATCCTCAACAACCTGCAAAACATCCAATTCCCCAAGTCAAACTACAAAACCACAAACTTAACACTTCAAAACTAAAAAGATGAGCAAAAACATACAAAGTACTCGTATCATTCAAACTCAACAAAAAGCATAAAAAGGCGCCAAATTATTGACTAACATTCTGAGAGCTTTACTGGTGTCAGGGCTATCACCAAGAAGCTGCCTGATGCGGACTTCAGAAGCACACCCCTTACATGACAATAACCTTAGAATTGCTTCTGCTCTGCGGCTTATGTATGTTGGTCCTGTATCTCTTCTTCTCTTCTGCTCCACCACCACGGCAGCTGCCACCGCCTTTCCCCGATTCCTTCCGCTCGATATCTCGCTCGTACCGCCACTCGACAAGCATGAGCTCTCTGTGGTAGTGGTGGTGGTGCCTTCTGTGATTGCTTGAGAGGTTGATGCCTTATTTGGGGTTTTTGCTTGTGGCTTTGCCCAGTTTTTTGGTGCGGATTTTTGGTCAGTGTATCCCCTGTAAATTACTTTAGTCCTAGCTCTCCGAGCTACCTGTTGAACAAAATTAATTTTTTTCAATCCAATAATTTGTTTTATAATCATGAAAAAGAGCATGAAAACTTCATATACTATGTACCGGAATGATAAGCTCATATTTTTGAATGCTAATTTCCTGAATTAATTACCATTTACTGAATTTTTTGGATGGTATGAAAATTGAAGACACGAAAACACGAGTCACATTTGATTTCAAATAAACAAAATCATTTACAGGATATATGTGATCATATTTATGCTTTGTAATTTGGAAAAAGTAACAGAAATTAGTTTCATTGATGATTTGAATTCAAATTCCTACATGAGAAACTCATGAACTTAAGGAAATGGAGTAAGATAGTCATTTGGAAAACAGAGACTCCAAAAAATTTATCAAAAATCAAATCTAGAGCAAAAAAGAAGCTAAATCAAAATGCTACTTGAATGTTTGAAGTTTCAATTTCTGAACAAAGCTTCAAGTTAGATTGCACAACAATTTTTTACAATGGAACAGTGATTTTTGAACATTATCAATACGTCTCAAATGTTACATTCAAATTTGTAAACCTAGAAATCGAATTTTGATAAAAGTGAAATCAATTGGAAAACATTCGGAAAACAGAGCTTCAAAATTATTGCTATTTCAAATTACATTACGAAAAATTGTTCGAATTTATGATTCAAATTCAATAAACTCATATTATTCAATTCATACAACTAAAATCAAAGCTAACTACATCAATTCCACTATTCAAAAAAAAAAAATTAAAAAAAAAAAAAAAATACATCAATTCCAAGTACTAGTAAATTCCAGATCAAACTCAAAGCAATTAACGCATGCAAATTGAACCGAAATTCAAAATATGAATAAAAAAAAACTAATAAACAGATTATAATCAAGAGGAATTCTCAGCAAATTAGCAGAAGTTTACTGAAAATGAACTCATTAATTCTCAAATTTTGCTCGACAATCATAAAATTTACTCAATGGAAGATAAAAGTAAATAAAATTACAATAGCAGCTCAATCGCAGAAAATTGTATGAAATTTAAGCTATAAATCTCTTCGGTTCCCTCCAATAGCAATAATTAGAGGATACATCAAATTCAAATTCAAAATCTGATCCAACAAAAACTAGTAAATTTGCAAATATTCCAAATCAAACACTAAGCAATTAGCTCATGTAGATTAAACCGAAATTCAAATTATGAATAAGTAAATAGTGATAAATAGAATATATCAAAAGCAATAAGCATAAATTGGCAGAAGATTGCAGAAAATGACCTAATTAACTAGTAAATTTTGCTCGACAATCATAACAATTACGTAATTAGCTGAACTTAAACATAACAGCAACTCAATCGCAGAAAAATCAATGAAATTCGAGCTAATAATCCTCCAGAAGAATAATTAAGCAGTAATCAAAGCATAAAACTAATTTGAATTCGAATTCAAAATGCGATCCAACAAAAAACTAGTAAACAGAGTATAACGAAGAACAAATTCACAGAAAAAATCCAGAAAACAAAAATTAAAGAGAGAAAAGTGACCTTAAGCTTCATCGAACGGTATCGAGAAACAGCAGACGCCATGAGCTGCAAGCGATGAGTCGAAACAGAGTAATCGCTCGTCAGCGAAGAACGACATGGCGTCGTATCACTACTCTTCTCCAAGCTAATCGTCTCTTCTTCAACTTCAACAGAAACCTCACATAATTTGCTCTCATAATTTTTCGCAGATTCCTCCTGCAAATTCAACCTGCAAAAATCAAAATCGATCAGAAATTCGAACAAAATTTCGATCAAAAATTTTAAGAAATCAAACAATTTTGATCGAAAATTTCGCATTACAATGAATTTGTTGTTGTTTTTGTTGTTGTTATTGAAGTTTTTGGGAGAGAGAAATTGGTAGAGAGAAGGAGAAGAGCAGAAGCAGCTGTTAGTTCGAGTTCAGTTGGAAAATCTTCCATTTTCGTTTTTTTGTAATTTTCTCTCTCCTCTGAAAATGGCGGGCCTCTGAAAATAATTTGAATTTTTTTCTACTTTCTCTCTCTTCAACGGTTTATATTTATTACGTGGTATGGGAGAGTAGATGAAAATAAATGATCAGACGGCTGAGATTTTATGTTTTGCATGTGATTGAAATGGAAAATTAATATGGGAATTTTATGTTTATTTTTTTAGTTACTAATGTAAAATGTTACAAAATTGATTGGTGAGGTTTCTTTTATTACACATTTAATGAACAATTTTTATTTTATTTTGTAGTTTACTAGTCTTGCATTTAACTACTCCATAAACTCGTAAATCTACAAATATATGAGAAGCCGCCCCTTTTTTCCTTTTCCTTTTCTCTCTTCTCTCTCCTCTCTCTTCTAGGGTTTTAGTTTTTTTGACCGTTTAGGCCGAAAATAGTCTAATTTCTTCGAAAATTAGACTATGGGCCTGTTCATATTTATTGAATTGAGCTGAACTGAACTGAACTGAACTGAACTGAAAAATTAAAATACATAAAAATATATGAAAATGTTTATGAAAATTAATGATAATATATATAGTGGATTGTGAAAAATATAAAAGTGTTTTAAAAATAACTGTATTTTAAATTATTATATTTTAAATTATTAAATTTTTGTGTATTATATTTTAAATATATATATATAAATAAAAAGTATTCTTCAACATTTTACTGTAGTCAATCGTTGCTTATTGTACTCTACACAATTTTGTTCGTTTACATGAACTAGGAATTCCATTCACGCACCAAGTTGAAGTCATGGGACCAACAGAAGATCATACTATGTACGATGATAACAGAAAAGTAGCTATGGATATTGTACGAAACCAAATAACTGATCAGATATGGGAGTCAATTAAGAGGAATGCCGAGGCGATGGAGCAACTTAATGAAGAAGAAGAAGACGAAGAACTAACCGATTATGAACGCTAGTAACTGTTGTGTAGTACTCTCATTTTGTCAATGAGTTCAACTATAAAAAAACATGTGACCATTTTGAACGACGAATATAATTTAAAATAATAATAATAATAATAATAATAATAATAATAATAATAATAATAATAATAATTAAAAGTAGCTATGGATATTGTACGAAACCAAATAACTGATCAGATATGGGAGTCAATTAAGAGGAATGTCGAAGTGATGGAGCAACTTAATGAAGAAGAAGAAGACGAAGAACTAACCGATTATGAACGCTAGTAACTATTGTGTAGTACTCTCATTTTGTCAATGAGTTCAACTATAAAAAAACATGTGACCATTTTGAACGACGAATATAATTTAAAATAAAAGTAATAATAATAATAATAATAATAATAATAATAATAATAATAATAATTATTATTATTATTATTATTATTATTATTTTTATTATTATTATTATTATTATTATTTTATTATTATTATTAGGAAAAAGCTAATGAGCGCCCCGGGGGCGTTAGATAAGAGAATTAAAGTGCAAATATTAAAGTAAAATTAACATTAATTACACCGAACGACGCGTGATTTTGTCATGAATTCCTAACTTAATACCATTTCAACCAATATAATTTATCCTTATCTAAAGCCCCAGGGCGCTCGTTAGCAAGATCGTTATTATTATTATTGTTATTATTATTATTGTCATCGTTGTAATATGCTAAAACATCTAAAAAAAAATTAACAGCTGAACTGAACTGATTAGAGCTGAACTGAACTGATTGGAGCTGAACTGAACTAAACTGAACTGAAAATAAGTAAATATGAACAGGCCCTATATTCGACCCTTTTTCTTTAATTCAATTAGTTTTTTTATTTTTATTTTGCTTTACGTTTTGTTTTGTTTTGTTCTCTCCATCTGTGAGAGTCTTTCCCAATTTTCTGGGATTTCGATTCTCATCTATGGATGAGAATTTTATTTTTAGGGTTCTTATAATAATTGGGAAGGTGATTTGGATTCCTAAGGGTATGGGATTTGTCATCAACTGGTCGATCAAAACATCAGCGCAGATTGCAGAGATCTCAACTTGGAAAGATGCAAAGACATCAAAAATCATTGCTCGCGTCAAGATTGAAGCGGTGGAGTATGAGCTATGCCAAATATGCAAATTAGTTATGATTTTGATTGTAAAAGTTATGATATTTTCTCGAAATCTGTGGTTTACATATCTTTATTATTGTAGATGCCATATGGCCCTTATTTAATGATATAATAACTTCCCGTACAAAAAAAAAAAAAAAAAAAAAAAAAAAAAAAAAAAAAAAAAAAAAACTACTCCATAATATCCTTTATTCCCTTCCAAAAAAAAAAAAAAGTCCATATCTCGACAAAGATCTTCTTTATTTTGAGAGTCTTTAATTAGCTTCATACAAGTATTAGAGTAAACCAAAAAAGAAAAAAAATTTAAAAAATATATATATAATTGAATTTTTTGCATGAATCTGAGTTTGAAATCAATTCTTTAATGAAATAAGTATTTTGTGTATTGCATTAGGTCATTAGTGATTTAAAACCAAACAATTTGCTATTATATGTTACTTGGTAAAGTTTTGGGTGAGACGAACTCACGTAAGTCCACCATCTTCATTCTCCTTTTTCCCCTTTCTCTCTCCTCCCTCCCATCAATGGCGGCCAGATCCTCCACCACTCTCCGCCTCCTCTCTCGCACCTCCCAACTTGCCGGCGATGAAGAATGATAGATGCAACTTGCTTTGGCGATCAGTGCTTCGAATTCAGAGTTTCGAGATGATCTGGAGAATGACAAGATCCGTGCTACTACTTTGTTGAGTTTTGGGAGGTCGAATTCTATTGATGATGGTCGAGAATCGAGATAAGGAGGATTTTGGTGAGGCGGCTTTGTCATGGAGGTTTTGGGTGAATTTAATTAATTTGACTTTGTGAAATTTGATTGTGGGATTGTTAATTGATGATGAAATGTAGGAGTTTGTTAGAGATGATATGAAATATGAGGGTTGAGGAGAGAGAAAATATTATAGTCATGGAAGAAGAAGGTGGTGGTGGTGAAGGAGAAAATAATGTCAAGTATTAGATGTTTATTGTTTGGTATTTGATTGTTATTGTTTGGTATTAAATGTTTATTGTCAGGTATTAGGGCGTGTTCTGATACGATTATTTTCAGTTCAGTTCAACTTTAATAAGTTCAGTTCAGTTTAGCTCCTAATTTTCTTCTTTTATAAAATATTCATTTCAGTTCAGTTCAGTTCCTAATAAGTTCAGTTCAACTCTAATAAGTTCAGTTCAGTTCAATTCAATTCAGTTTAGCTCTAATAATAAGTTCGGTTCAGCTCAGGTCAATCAATGAGAACAGGCCATTAGATTAAAATTTATTGGTTTAATATTTGTTAGGAATTAGAAAATCTTAGTTAGGAATAAGATTATTTTAGTCAGGGTTTAAATAAGATAATTTTAGTCCTCGGGAATAAGATAATTTTTATCAGGAAAAAGACCATTTTAGTCAAAGATAAGATAATTTTTATCAGGAATATGACAATATTATCGATTTTATAAAATGTTGGTGCGCGGGCTTTGATCGGCTTTCTCAGACCCCCGCCTTTTTGTTGTTAAGCTTGGTCTCATGTGAGTCCGTTTTACGCAAAACCTTCTCACGTTACTTTTTGTTTTAAAAAGTGACTAAAAGTTAATATATTATGTATATTCTTTTGGCCTTAATTTTGTTAAATTAGTTTTTTTTTAATAGCAAAAATATTTCATTAATTAAAAGTAATACGACATCTACAATATAAATTCGACTTTAAAAAATACATAAGATATTGAATCAAATAAAATTTTGCTTCATAAAACTACGATCGTCGAGTAGATCTTGCACTGTGGAACATCTCCCGCTTATATCGCTAGAAAATACAACCTTGTTGGAGAGACAATCTAACGATCTTTTGTAGCCGTCTGTATTCGAAAACTTGATAACTTTTCACCAACGAAATAATTTTACAATAATCCATTAGATCTAATATCATGGATTCAAAACTAAGAAATTAGAGGAGATAAAGGAGGTCCAAAAACTCATGTCTTTCGAAGGAAATTGAAAACCCTTTTTTCCTTTTTTCAATTCTATCTTCATTAAGCTCCTCTTCCAATTCTATGTTTTTAGTTCATTCAGATTCATTTATTAGGCCTAAAACAATAAACCCTTATAATTGCTAATTGTACTATCTTGTCACCATACTTGATAAACTCCAAAACACCTCAATGAATAATTTATTTTCTCACTTTGTTTGACTTAGATGTATAGTAGCAAGGTAATACGAAATACTAATTAACCATCTCTTCATCATGATCTAAATATAACTATTTTTTTACGACTCCTTCAGTGTCGAAGTCATTGAACTATGAAGCCTATAGAGCACAAGCTAAGCTACCTACATGAATTTAATTACACAAGTACAGTTAAACCATTTCATCTTTAGCACGAGCTACATGACTTTAATTTAACAAGTAATTGTTACACCATTTCGTCTAGTCTTCTTGAATTTACCTGCCTTATACTACGGTAGTACGTAGCTTTGACATGCATGACTTGCAATGCAAAAGACTCGAACGCCATTAAGGTATCTTCACATTTACTGAACTAAACTGAACTGGTTGGAGTTGAATTGAACCCAACTGAACTGAATAGAGCTTAAATGAATATTTTATATTATGAGAGAAGGAAATTAGGAGCCGAACTGAAGTAAACTAAACTGACTGTATCTAAACTGAACAGAAATTAAGCTGAAGTGAATATGTTGTATTAACCTCATTAGCTTAAGATGCTGAATGAGGAGATTAGATGACTTCATTTTACCTACACATAGACTACTTTTATACTCACACTTAAGGTCTTGTTTGGTTCACCTTATTTTTGCTTATCTGAACTTATCTAATCTGATCTGGTCTAGTCTGATTTGATCTGATCTGGTCTGGTCTGATCTGATTGTCTGATTTGACCAAACTTTGACTTTAAGCGTACAATAATGTATAAGGAAATACTATATCAAGTGGAGTCTTGTTAGATTCGTAATAATGTGGATTTTATTAATATGTAATTTTTCATAATTTTTTT